CTCTCTCTCTCTCTCTCTCTCTCTCTCTCTCTCTCTCTCTCTCTCTCTTTTTCTCTGTTTCTTTAACTGCTGCATAAATGTCGTGAGAGTGGGATTTTACAATTAGGTAGATGTATGTATCGTAAGAATCGTCAAAATATGTGCAAGCTGACAATCGGTATTTGTTAGTTTTACAATAACGTATATGCGCGCTTTGAAAAAGCATAAAATCTTGGTTATAAATATATTCCCATTAGAATCGTTTAATGGCACGATCGAGCTTAAATTTAAAAATCCTCTTGTTTTATCTTTTTAATATATTCGTTTCTACATTATCGCCCCCAGAATCTGTTTTTATCTGCTCCTACAATGTTTCCTCATCTTCCGCCTCTCCGTTCCTTTTTCTTTATATTTTCTTTTTTGTTATCACAACGGCGTTTAATTACGTTTATAAATATGTTTATTCCAAAAAGACTGCAATTAGTTAAATTCTCTACTTTCAAATCTTTGTTCGAAAGGAAGCCATTCAAAAAAAGAAATAAATTTACCGAAACTGTGAAATCTCTTAGAAATTCAAATAATTCCTGCAAATTTAAATGACTATCTAAATTAATCAATTAGTTAGCTTCGCAAGCTGTATTTGTTTTCTTTCTCTTTTCACAGACACTATCCCCACCCCTTTTTCTACCGGCACCCCCATCCTCCGTGCATACATACACGCGCACACATACGCACGCATCTTTACCTCTCTTTCTCTCTCTAAAGTCATCTTTTATATTAATACGCGCACATATGTGGGCCCCTTTTTGTCGAAGCGCCGCGTCGTATGCACGTATCGCACTCGTGCGATCATATTAGACACACACACGCCTCACACACGCATCTCTCGCGCGCACGTATAAGTGGGCATGTGCTCTAGACCGCTTTACTCTGGAACCCCTCTCTATTCTGGAACAGCTTATCCCTTCCCTGTAAAGTGAAATATATATATATCGTATATATCATATAGGAATTATATATATATAAAATATATATGTAATAAATCTATTTATTATAACATGTATAATATATATATAATTACATATAGTATATATAATATTATATAATTCCTTTTTCGCATTCTTTTTTACGCGCGCATCATTACTCTGCCGCGTTACCGTACGTAGAATAAGAGAAGCGAAACATACGGCATAATACGAACAGACAAAACATGTGTTCCGCTATACGAGTATTGGAAGTGGTTTTCCAGAATAGAGGGATACAGTCCGGTCCGGACGATTTCAGAATAGAGGAGTGCTATAGCAACTCTGTCCCCATCATTCTATCTCGAACCTTTCTTTCTTTATATCCTTTCTTCTGTCTCTGTCTCTCTCCCTCTCTCTCTCTGCAGCTCAAACATATACATACATACATAGATACATACATGCATGCACGCAATACACAAATACATAAACATGTACGCACGCATGCACGCTTCCTCGCTGCTTCTCTCCATCTCGCTTTCACGCTCTCTTTCTTTCTGCTATTCTTTCCTCTCAATCAGTGGCTTTATCACACGTATATTATTTTTTCTCTTCTAGCAATGTCTTTCTTCAGTTCTAGTTTCTGCCTGTGCTTCTAAAATCGAGACTTCTTGCGGCCTTACAACCGCAAACGTATATTTGCGCCACTGTAGCCGCAGCACGAAAATCGAATAAGATTTAAATGGAAGTGTGTTATCTACAAAATATCTTAATTACTCGCTAATTACAGCACAAAACATGCAAATATAAAAATTTGCATTATATTATCGTTTAATATTTATATATATCATCCGATATATCATTCCACATCGCACCATTAAGGTTCGCCGACATGATTCTTGGTATATATATTATTATGCAGCTGACCGTTGTCTCTTGAAAGTCCATTTTCTTTTTTTTTTTTTTACTGCGTATGCATATGTGTGTGTGTGTGTGTGTGTGTGTGTGTGTGTGTGTGTGTGTGTGTATTTTGTGTGTATGTCCACACACTCGCGTTTACACGCGCGCATATATATTCATGTATCTGTGTTTGTTATTTTGTGTCTTGTGTTGTGTGTGCATATGCTCTGTGGATATGGGATAGTGTGCATGTCGATCCGTGTTTTTCTAATATGTATTTGTGTATGTGTATGTATCTTTCTTTCATTAACTATGAAATATCTTACACTATCGATATTATTCCAATTCATCGAAGGGGAAGGTATACCAGAAGGCGGATATCGCATCGGGTATACCTACACGCTAACACCAATAATTAAACTTTCTTACTTCCTGTTTAATCGATATAAAACTACAACTGCGCTGCCATGGCTTTTAATCAGCACTTTTGTTCCTTCACTCGTGCACTCTATCACGTCGCGCGCGAGTCTTTCTCGCCTCGTCACTCTCCCTCGTCTCTTTCCATCATATATATCCATCTATCTCCCGCTTTCCCCACAACGTCCACCTTTTAACGCACTATAGCCGTCCATAACATTGTCGTCGTCACGTGCGTTTTACTCGTTGTTGTCGTCACCGTCGGCACCGTTAATAATAATCCGCGCGAATCGCGTACTAGTGTCCCGACCGACGACAGAGAGTTACGTGCCCCTCGAACATTGGAACAACACACGCGCGACTATCGCGGCGACCTGCTGATCCAGGATCTGGCTCATCACCAAGGCGAGCAGGCGGGACTCGTGCTGCAGAAGGAGAGTTCGGTTATCCGGATGCCTGGCGAGGTTGAGCAGCGTGCCGGCCGCACGTCGCAACATGTCAAGACTGGTACCCATCGATTCGGGATTGTCGCGTAGAGCCGCGAGACCGTGCTGATTAGCGACGCCGAGTGCGCTTGTCTCGGCCTGCTCGATGAACGCGACGAGCAGCGCAACGCATGGCGTTTGTAGGGCGATGGTACGCGCGACGCCACTGTCCGCGGCCGACAGGAAGTGCAATAGATTCACGCCGAACTCGCGCAGCACTTGTTCTTCGCTGCGACAGAGGAGCCTAGTCAGCACCGAGCATAGTCTCTGTAATCGTGAGTACGGCGGCGTCGCCACCACCAGATCAACGTTGCACTCGGTCACGCATAATTTGCACAATGCCTCAAGCGCGAGTCTCTGCGGCGACAACGAGGAATTCGGGCCGACCGTTGGAAACGGATCCTGACCATGCGCAGCCGGACATACGGCCCAATGAAGAAGGCCATCGAGCACTGGCCGCGAGATTTCCTCCGGATGCTGGCTCAGATCCATATGGCCGGATATATTGGCGGCCATCACGAGAACGTTCTCCCTAACATGATGGAGGAAGTCCCACCACCATTCACCTTCGCCTTGTAGACTGCTACACGAGTCTGCGAAATCCGCGTCCTCTTCACGATCATAATTACGTGTCTTTTGCGCCCGTATCGGATGTTCGTGATGTAGCAGCAATAACTTGCCTAGTAGACTGAGGAACGTAACGTTCTTCGCGAATTCCGCTTCATTGCCGGGGATGAAAGTGAGATTCCTTAGAATTGTCGACAGGCACACGCAACGACGAGCCAGGTTGTCCTGCGTTTCCGTCACCAGGTACAGACTCGCTTCGTCCCTTGAGTAACTTTCGTCCTCGTAGTCACTTATCCTCCGTCGTTTTAACGTACCTGCCGGATCTCTTATTTGTAATCTTGGTCCCTCCCTATCGTCTCTCGTCGTTATCAGTTCATGTTCGTCCGTTGTTTCTGTCTTGATCTCAGTTTTATCAATGGTGTTATCGATGTTGCCTGAAACCGTCGCTACCGATTCATTCAGTCCATTTTGCGTCGGCAACGAGTCCTCGTCGTTCTTTGACATATCACTGCCAAAATGTTCACCCATATTATTGTTTGCTTTCGTCACTTCGCTGTCGCAATCCTTTTTAAAACCGTCGTTCTTCTTCTCGAACAGCTCCCTTGTAAGATCGTTCATCTCCACAGGTTCCTTCTTGATCCTCGACAGTACGTCACTCAAAGTTTTCGTCTTCTTTTTCTTGTCTAGCTGTTGCTGTTGCTTACGTTCGCCACTGTCTTTATTAGATTGCTTGTCGCCAAGCTCACCAGACTTATGAGTGAAGTCTAGCGTCTCGTGGACACCACCGACGCTATCCGCTTTGGCTTCGTCTTTCAAATCTGTGCTGTCAACTTCCTTTTGTAACAACGGCGGTTTCTCGTCCCTTAATAAACGGGCGAAAGGCACCGAGCCCATCTCTGACTGAAAACACGTGACGATGTATTTGGTCGCGTTCGTGTCGACTTGCCACGGCTCGGTTTCCGATTCGCACTCCTGATGATCCCAAGGCCTCCGGGTGTCCAAAACGAACAAATCGTCATCCCGAGGGACGATCTTAACGGGGCGACCTCTCCTCGAGAGATACGTATAATTCGATGTCGACAGCAATTTCGTCCGATCTTCAGAATCGATTGGGCGCGTTACTGCACCGAGGTCTACCTCCGGACCATCTGCAGCCTGGCAATAGCGATCGT